CGTGCCTGTGTGACTGTGTGCGACCCCAGGCTAAGGTGCAGGAGGCCAAGGAAGTCCTGACAGAAGTCACCCGCCAGAACACCCAGAGACTCCTGCAGGTGAACCAGCTGCTGACGGAGAGGAAGGACCTGGAGGAGCGGCTGAACGCCCGCCAGAGAAAGATGGTACGCTCTGCATGCCTGGAGTCTTTGGCCTCTCTCTTTCTCAGGCAGAGTAAAAGTCTGGCGAAGAGCTTGAGCGAACACACTGTGCCAGGTTGTCTCAAGAGCCCCAGGTAGTACAGTTTCACAACAGTAAGAAGGCACACGCCCAAGACGTGCATCTGGCAGCTCGCCTGGCGTCCAGTGCCCGGGGTTGAAGCTGACGTGCCGGGGCGGGGCGCCCGTTTTGCTCACTTGGCGCTGCTGGTCTCGATGCCTCAGAGCCCCCTCTGTCCAGCGAGAAAGCTAAGAGCGCTCGTGTCGCCCGTGTTGTCCCAGCAGGGCGGGCAGTTCCAGGGCCGCCGGCGGGCGGAGGAGGACGAGAGGCAGCGGCTCATCCAGCTGGTGGAGACGCAGGCGCGGGAGGCCGAGGCCCTGAGAGAGGAGATCGGCGTCCTGTCCAGGAAGGGCGGCCACATCCTCCCCCCGGCCCAGCCCCCCCAGCCCCCCAGGGCTCTGAGCGAGAGTCTCAGCCAGCTGTCCCGCAGAGGGGGCATCGGCCATCGCAGCACCCACAGTCGCCCGTCTGTCCCTGCTAGCGGGCAGGGCCTGGGGTAGCCCTCACCTCCACCCCTCGAGCCCCAATCGCCGATTCAGCCCTTTGTCATTGCACACGGGTCTCTTAATCAACACAATACATTTGAAAATAGCTGGTTTCTGGGATTGTTTGTTTGCATCTTAGATTTATTTTGTCTCTGTGATCCACAAAACCTCATTCTGTGAGGGGGAATGCAGCGCGTGATCCCAGTTTAGAGTCCTTTTCTCTTTAGAGGCGGTTTTGGCAGCCTGTATGCAGCACAACCACAAGGTGGTGCTGTTTCCTGTTTTTCTTCCACGTGAACAGTGTCCTGTTTGGATTTGGTGAGGGGCAGGTGAGGTGGGGGGAGTAAAATGCCACAGGTCACTGACTGAGGTCATTGAGCCAACACTGAGTTGTCTCTGTCCACAGACACTTATTGTGTATGAAAAGAGGATGTGATTCTACTCTTTGAGATAATCCCATTGTAACTGAGTTGTTTCCTTGACATTTCATTATTATTGTTCATCTTTGGTTCTTATTTGACGTTTTTTTTCTGGGATTTTGGGGACATCAAACTTGTCAGAAGCTAAGCAAGGCGGGGTCAGTGATAGGACAGGAGACCTATAAGGAAGACCAGGTTGTTTCAGTAAGTGGTGCTCTTTCTGTGGACCAGAATTTCCAAACCCACACCTCACTACAGTGACTTGGGACACTGTGCTGTAGGAGGTCCTCACATAAGACATTTCTTGGTGATTGAAATCCTTTGGCAGGATTCACAGGGGACAGAAGGGGTACACATTCTAGTCTCCCTACAATTCGCCCTTCATTCAGCTGATGGAGCAATTTCCCACACTTCCAACTGATTGGTTGTTGGTGCAGAATGACTGCAGCATGCCCACCAGGTGGCGCTGCACTGCAGTGGCTGGTGAAACGTGTGCCCTCCTGTATGTAAAAGTGCTTTGGGATCCTTCAGGATGAAAATGTTTCCACAGAAGCTTCACTTCCCAAGTGCTATGTCCTTAAGGATGAAGGTGTCCACGAAAAGACCGTCCACTGATAAATCCTGTATCGTAGTGGACTCAATTTCCTCCGTGTTGTAAAGACACTAATCACATGTTCGGAACCGTTGGTGTGTCCTGGGCCAAAACAGACCTGCGTGCTCAAGCTGTTCTGCGTCCCCCTCACTGACAAGATGCTGTACCATCCCCCTTACTCTAAGACTCAACCAAAAATCTAACGTATGTAAAACCGACTGATTAACTATCTACCTAGTGAGTGTTTTATCTCTTTAAATTAAGCCCTTTTTGTTTTTTTTTAACTCTCAATGTAGACCTGGGATTTGAGTCTCAGACACCACATGAGCGATTGCAAACAGTGAGAGGAGCCAATCAGCCCATTTAGCTCCATCATTGAATTGAATTGATCATCCAGCTGTTTCTCGAAAGAAGCCAGGGTATCGGCTTCAACCGCACGGCTGGGTAGCTTGTTCCCCTCTCCCACCACCCTCTGCATAAAGAAGCGAACCATCAGCAACTGGAACATCAGCGGAGCGCAAGCTGTCGGGAGCTGTAGGTCTGGGGGGCGGAACGGGAGGGAGGGACACTGAGGAGAAAGGAGGGGGGCCTGGTGGTGCTGGGGGTGCTTCAGTTTTTTGGGGGGCACAATGGCCAGTAAGAATATCAAAAGGAGTAAATATTACACATAATAACTGTGTGCTCTTGTAAAGAGGCTCGGAATAGCTGAGGTAAATGCTGGGCGAGGGGTCGTCTCAGAGACTATTAATTATACGGCTGGGCTCTTTGTGCTGCCCTAGGTACAGCTGATGAGGGCCTGAATGGGGATTTAACGTGATCCAGTGATTCTGAAAGGGCCCCGAGCTCACTCAACAGCCAAAGCAGCGAGACCTGAATGGGACTGGGCCACTGGCAAAAAACAGGATAATAATGAGAACGAGGAATGGGGCTATTGCTCTCTCCATTCCTCCGACATTTCCCATGTGGTCCTCTTTATCTTCCTCATTCAGGAGTCAATAGAGCCTGCCTTTCTCTTTCCTTCTGCTCCTCACCCCCACCTCAGCCCCAGCCCCTCCCGGGACAAAAATTTTTGCCTGACAAAAATGGGCATTAAAAAGGACTTGGAGGAGCAGCCACACACTGGAGTGTTTGCTTAACTCTCATTTAAATATGCTTCTACTTCACCTTAATGAGGGTCCCGCGCGGCTGGGAGGGGGCAGCTCTCTTGAAGCGGCTCTCGTCCCGTGACAGAGGGCTGGCCGGTCACTGTGGATCTCCCACTGGCTGCAAGGGGAAGAGAAGAAAAACTGCACTTGCTCCTGGCCTAGCCCGCTGCTGCGCTTCCAAAACACCGAGCCGGGCGATCCTAACGTTGCCTTGTTTTCTGCTCCGTCTTCTGATGTCGGATACCCTTTTCTTGCTTTAGTTTCTCCTCCATGTTCTAAAGTGACTTATATTTTGTTTTGTGCGTGTCCCGGATACTGGTTGTGTATCCCCTGTGGCGGGAGGCAGGAGATTCCAGCTCTTTCTCTGTCTGAGGGCGGTGTGAATGCAGCTCATATCAATGACCTTTTATGCACAGAATCCTTTCCTTCCTGCGTCTTCTGCACACAAGTGCATTAGTATATGGGTACTGTAAGTTTATATAGCTTTATCACGATTAAAATACAAAAGGTTTCCCATTTGTTCTGACTTTAAAAAAAGAGTAACCCTGTCATTCTTACAGTGAAGATAAAAAGGTTGTGATTCATTAAGCCCTTCCTATTGCAGGGCAAACACAAAGTAACTTTATTCCACTCTTCAAGGCTTAGGAAAATAGCTGTCAGGTGCTGGTATCTTTTTTTTTATTATTTATCTTAGCAATACTTCACATCATAGGCCAGAACATTGTCTGTGCATTCCATCTCCTTATCACCAGGGAGTGACAGATAATTAAATGTTAGATTTTTAAAGAAGAAAAAAAATCCCCTTTTAATCTGCATCCAACGCCAGAAACCCTCTTGTTTTAAAACTCTGTCCAAAAAAACACGGTTCATCCCGGAGTGCCTGGGGGGGTTGGCACAGACTGAGGAGCAGCCCTGCCACTCTGACATGTCTGTACTCACAGTGGCTGAACGCCTTGCGCTCACTGAAGACGGAGCGAGGCTCCCCCGTTCTGTCTTAAAACAAAGAGGAACATGAACCGGTTGAAGATGAACCTCAGGAATGTGGGCCCCGGTTTGGAGAAGCCTGGCGTCCACGGGGGCCGAGTGTGTGGAGGAATCCTGCCCGCATCGACGGCACGTCTCCCGTCGAAAAGGGAAGACTCGGGGATTTGTCAGGATTTAGATTTTGTGATTTCAAAAGAGCCCTCATCAAAAACGAAAACGTGTCACCCCGTCCTCCCCTGTCTTCTCTCTCTCTCTCGCTTTCGGTGTCCCGTCTTGTATAAAATAAAGCAAAAGGGACAAAGGTGAAAGTGTGGGGATATAGCCCGAGGCTCAGGGTGTGCGTGCCGGCAGGCTCGGTAGAGGGCGCTATTCCCCGAGTGCAGGAGCCAGAACTGGAGCCTGCGCTCCTGATGGGACAGGCAGTGAGGAGGAGGGCGTGCGTTTTGACCTGAAGTGCTTTTTTTTTTTGTGAACGCCTGCGTGAGAAGTCAACGTGTATTGCTGCTGCTGGCGTTATCTTTAAATCGAGAAGCCACAGACAAAAGCTTTCGTCCTTTTTCTTTTTGGTTTTATGAACTATGGCCTCAAGAAGCCAATGTGTTGTCCATTACCAAAAAAAAAAGCAAAAATCTCGAGAATCGGCAAGCGTAGTGAGGGGACAGTACAGAGCATAAACGTCTGCATTGCTTTGCAAGATTCCTCACCCTTAGTCACAATAGGCTAATTGAGGAGGCATTATTGTGGAGTTTATATTAATGTTCCTGTTACGCGTCAGTTTTCTTTTTGTTTCTGATATGTGCCTACCAACGAAAACATCCGTGATTGTATTGTCATGTAAAAAAAACGTCTTTGTTAACAGTATTACTTAATATGCCACCAATACTTTTTCAACACCAAGTCTGCCCAGACTATGATCACGGTGGTATACAGTGGAGTCGAGCACAGTAAAGGCGCTATAAACACGAGATAATGTACAGAACTGAATGGTACAGTACTGGGATAAGTACTGAAAAGCTACAGTAAATGCAGAGTTCTAGCACAGTCAAGCCCTGAAAAAAACAAACAAACAAGAAATGTTGTGGTAAACTGTAATGAGTGGAAGATAAGAGATTCTGACTGGGATGATTAAACACAAAGGCATCAGACTCTACTCTTAAATTTGCGTATCAAATTCACTGTTAATGTAGGGCTCGGACACGCACTGATAGACATGTAGCAGTAAGTGTGAGAAGACTTGTGGAATTGATATGGCTGTGGTTAGAAAGCACAAAAAATAAACAATAAAACTGATGTTTTTCTAAGCCCCTTCCAGCCTCCCTTCTGTGTGTACTGTACGTGTCGCTCTTCTGCCACCGCTGGGAACCTGGTGAGGTGCTCAGATTGCAGCCCTGTTGCCCAGCAACGCAAACACGGAGCTCTGAGCCCCAGAATTTCACACCCATCTCATTTGTTTTTGCTTCCCGCTAATTGCGCCGAGGGTGGCTTGTTTCTCTTTTGTCTTATGAGGGTTGGGGCGATTGGACAGCCCACGAAAGGCTAGCCAGGCCTGGCTCTCTCCAAGTGCGCTGGGGGTTGAAGGGTGCAGAGCAGCTCCGTCTGGGTGCCCAGAGGTGCGTTTTGTAAAAGGCCTCATTGACATCATCTGCTGGAGTTTACCAGGTTTATTTCCGGCTCCTGCACCTATTGTGCCGTGCGTTAACTGTAACTCTTCTGCCTGGTTTCTGGGGTGGCTCCTTGTCACTTCACCCCCTGCGCCATTTAGGAGCCCCTCGTTATCTGCCCCGAGACGCTCTGGAGTACGTTGGCGCTGTTGGTTACCAGCAGGGCAGTACGGCCCAGGAGAGGAGCCTAAAGGGAACGAGAAATCACCCTTCACGCTCCTCTGAGAGCGAAAGTGGAAGTGTTATTTTGTCTGGTTTAAACCATCTTCTGATTGTCTCAGATTTTGTAGATGATTGAAACTGGCGACACACCACCACCACTTCTGACCCTCCTCAATCTCCAGTTGGTTCTTGCGGAGGGCAGCTTTCTCAAGGGGGTCTGTTTTTTTTTAAACAAGCCCAGCCCCTCATCTAGAAACAACCGTTCTAGCTTCAGTTTGGAAAAGAAATGAACCTTGCAGGAGAAACGAAATTTATAGCGTGTCTTCAGCAAACTCGTAAAACTGCCTGCCTTCTAATAGGCCCCATTGTTCTGCACTTTCTTTCATTTTCAGCCAATTAAAAAAATATCAAAAGCAAGTTGATCAGCCTGCACACCTGCAGACTCACTCGGAATGGATTATGGCTGAAGGTCAAAAAGTCATGGAATCCACTTCCTCACGCCGAGACACAGCCCGGAGCACAGCGGAGTGCAAACAGTCTCCCACATGTTCCCAGCACTCACGAGCAACACACGTACAGTACGTCTGGATCTTCTGCGCTGGGTTATCAATGTACCGTGTTTGTGGGGCGAAAGCCAGTGTTGCAGACACCTTGTCCATGAAGGTCTGCTTTATCTGGGAACGTGGCCACTGTGGCATTGTTGCAGTAGCTGCTGTGGCCTTAGTATAAGTAAAGGTCCGTGCAACATGCTTAGTGTGTATTTTTAATTGAGGGAGGGAGATCTGCACCTAAGCTGCGATGGATAGAAGTCCGTGCAAGAAGAGGGCTGAGCAGTCTGAAGGATTGTGATTTTAGAGCCCCCTTAATTTCCGTCCGAGTTTCAGGCTCGTGTGCATGTCTGTCTGTCTGTCTGTCTGTCTGTCCTTTTAATATCAAACTGTCATCATTAGCTAAATTTAGTCATTTGGGAGCGGAGGTTGAGGCTGACCAGCCGTCTGCTGTGGAAAATAAATCAATTTTATTTTCAATGTTCTGCTCCCAGACAATCACCCAGTACGTTTTGTTTGATTTGAGGAATAAATGAGACTGGGCGGACTTCACTTGCCTTTTATTTCTGGCTCAGGTCAAAGAACCTGGAGCAGAAATTAGTTGGAGGCTGTACCTGTCCTTCACTGATGGAGAACAGAGGGAGAAGTCATTCCTCATGGCTGCTGGTTACCTCTC